TTTTATGATAAGATAACAAATCACATGACATTTTTATTAACAAAAGAATTATTTTGACATCGTAAATTAAAATTTAAAAATAATTTTAATATTTTTGAAGTTGAAGGATATTTTTAATATAAATCTAAAAGTTAAAGAACTAAATCAATATCTTAACTTTTATAAAATAGTATGTTTAGTTTAAAGAGAAATTTGCCTATCTAAATAGCGAAGAATTAGAGGGGAGTAGAGGGAGAGGAGAAAAATGAAGGGATTTTATTTTCTTGTAATTTTCCTCTTTTTTAGTTCATTCAAACCAAATAGAGACCAAGAGTTTATTTAATGGATCTATAAGTTCTATTTGAATAAAATTTTTATAGAAAGAGTTTTTTATTTTATAGTCTAAATTACATTAAATTATAAAATAAAATCAATAGATGTGGTAGGACCTTGATATTAAGAGACCTACTCTTTATCTAAAAATTTTTATTTTACAATTTAATATAATTTAGATTATACAGTAATTTTTTGTTATAAAAATGTTAAAATCTTTCTTTTTTGTTTTTTAAAAATGTTAAAATCTTGAATTCTTATAAAAACAATCTAACTAAAACTAAGAAGATCAGGTCGTAGTTAAGATTGTTTGTCTAGAATTAAATTATTAGAGGTGCAACACAAATTTGAAGCAGCTAATAGTACATTGCAGAAATTAAACTAAGAATCAACATGAACCAAAAGTACTGCAACTAATCTCTCTACAAAGTAAAAATGAAAATTTTACAATGGACAGAAAAAAGGACACAAGGAAAGGACTTAGCTTTTCAGAGTCAGTCTGTACTCCTGAACGTGCTAATCGGGTGGTCAAGTCTTTCTCAAATACTTGAAGCAATTGGCAGGAAGAAATGAAGCCAAGAGCTAAATCTGAAAAAAGTAAAATATTATGAGAATGATTGCTTTAAAATGAAATGAAAGACAAAATTTCAGTTAAAAGTAATTCATTGTTATCATTATAAGAAACGGAGATATGGAGGCTCATTGGACAGTTGGTTAGATATAAGAAATCAGTCAATGAATTCAAAAGCAAGAAGAGCAAAATGGTAAGATACAAGAAATACAATCATAAAATGAAATGAAGTATTACCATTTAATGTCCTCTCTTCCCCACATCATCATCACCTTGGACCAGATAAAATAGATGAAATCCAAGCAGCTGTATCCGTTGGGTGTCCGATGGTTCCTACTTCAGCCGGAACTGGTGGATTTGAGAAATCACACTCATTTTCACCATCCATTTTGCCCTCTAGGAACTTCACCACAATGGACATTGAAGGCCTCTTCGCATATTCACTTTGCAAACACCATGCCGCAACTTTCATCGTCTCCATTACCTCTGCTGCATTTGATTGCATCTCCTCATTGTACCTATCCATTAGATCCAGAAGTTCACCACCCTCAGCCTTTCTCTTAAAAACACTTACCAAATGGCCATCCTCTTCTGGAAGGGATCGATCAACATTTTTTCTGCCACATAAAATTTCCAGAACAACAATACCAAAGCTGTATACATCTACCTTTTCTGTGATTACCGAGTTCAACCACTCAGGGGCCATGTATCCTGGTGTTCCCCTCATTGTTGTCACAACTTGGCTTTGCTCTCTTCCTACTAGCTTAGACAACCCAAAATCAGAAACCTTGGCATTGAAATTCTCATCCAAAAGGATGTTTTGGGGTTTGATATCGAAGTGAATTACTTTCTGCCTGCATCCTTCATGAAGATATGCTAGACCCTTGGCTATGTCTAGAATGATCTTCCTTCTGCACCGCCAACCAAGAGAAAGCTTTTTGTCACTGCAGAAGATCCACTGATCCAATGACCCATTACACATGTACTCATAAACCAAAAGCATGCGGAATTTCTCAGCACAAAATCCAATTAACCGTACCAAGTTGAAATGGTGAATGCTTCCTATGGTCTCAACTTCAGTTACAAATGACTTCTTTACAAAACCAAAACCGTCAAGGTACTTCACAGCAACTTGAGCACCACCACGTAATTTTCCTTGAAAAACACAACCAAATCCTCCCTCACCAAGCTTGTTGTTAAAGTTGTTAGTTACACCCTTTAATTCTTCATAAGAGAATCTTGAGGGTGCTCCTGATATGTGGCCCAGATAATCCTCCTCAACATCCTTCCCATCCTTTTTAATTTCTAGGAAAGACACGATGCAGATAATAACAAGCACAATAAAAGAGGCTCCAAGAATGGATCCAAGTATAACTCCAACATTCTGTCTCCTCCCTTTTTTAGGTGAAACTGGCAATGGATGAATCTGTGCACTTGGAAAACTTTGCACCTTTAAAAAGAGAGATTGATTGTGAGATGTATCCACTCTCTTGAATGACAAAACTTCAGATCTAAAAAGGCACTGGCCAAGGGATGAGAAATTACTATCATGTTCATCTATAAAAAGAGCATACTTGCAAGAACAGTTCTTTAAACAGCCTTGCTTGCAGCTCTCTTTGCTTGTTCTATGATAATTACCTCGCATCAAATCGGTGAGAGAAAAATCAACGTCATTGACTTCAAGAAGACTTTGGTTAGGAGACTCACAAGATACTGGATTATATGGAGAACACGTAAAATTTTGCTGTGAAGAATTTATCTGCCTGAAATACGTATATGTAACTCTGTTTTTATCTGCTTCTGGGCAGCTGCAGGATCCTCCCGATGAACAAATTCCATATTTTCCGCACACCAACGGGTAACTACATGAATCAAGGCCCTCAAACAAATCATAGGCTTTATCCCACTCTGATGTTGTTTGCCAGAAGGCACTTAAGTGCCCATCAGAGTCTAATTGTATAACACTAAATCGTGTGGTACCATCTCGAGATCTTGGAAAGGCAACAGCACCAAAACCAGTGTCGTTGAATTCAGCA